GTCAAGGTTCTGAGGTTATTTTATTTTTTTTTAAATTTTTTTCTTTGTTGATTCTACGTAGAGGAAGGGAGAGGGAGAGAGAGAGATAGAAACATCAATGAGAGAGAACATCGATGGGCCGCCTCCCACATGCCCCCACTGGGGATCGGGCCCACAACCTGGGCATGTGCCCTGACTGGGAATTGAACTGGCGACCCCTTGGTGCATGGGTCAGCACTCAATCACTGAGCCATACTGGCCAGGCGGTTCTGAGGTATTTTAGATGTTCTGGTGTGTTTGTGAAGTTCTGGAGGTTTATGAGGGTGATACTGAGGTTCTGGGTTTCTTGTGATGTTACTAAAATTCTGGTGATATTGCAGAGATTCTGGAAGTACTCTGGGTGACTTGGGGGTCTCTGGGGGTGTTTCTGAGTTCTGGGACTGCAGCTGGTCTTCGTCATTCATTTTGGCCCACTCCTTTTAAGCTTAGCACTTTGCCCTTTGAGAATTCTGATAACCACAAGCGAGGAAGGCATGCATGTGGGCCTCTGTTTCTAGAGGCAAAAATTCCTCAGATGTAATCAACTTGAACAAAAACATGGAGAAGAAGGAAACCTTGTCCCAAGGCCTTCATGGGCCATCTCCAGCTTGAGGGCATGGCAGCTCTGTGCTAGGCCTAGATAGCACACGGTCTTTGTTTGCTTAGAGTATGGAAGCTTTTTGGGACACCCTTCCACAGTGAGCACAGCTCAGCCACCCCAATCCGTGCCCTGCTTGGACTGGGTTGATCTTTGGATATAGTGTCAGCCCCATCTGAATGGGCCACAGCTGGGTAACCCTGACTGCTGCCCTGCTCTCTCCCATTCTCAGCTTTCCTAAGACACTTATACCTCATTCCTTATCTGATCTTAGGGCCCTGCTCCAGGCCCTCTCCTCCAGGAAGCCTTCAAGACTGCCCAAACCATCTCCTCACTCCTGGTGCCCCCTCCTCTTCTCTTAGCTTCTGCACTGTCTCTCAAGTACCTCCTCTGTCTGGCTCCTCCTCTGGTCTCCTACTCTTTCAGGTGTGAGTCCCCTTGTAAAGCCACCTCCAGGAGGCAGGCCCTGGACTCTGCTGCCAGGCCTTCAGAGGAATTCTTTAGGAGCGCCTCATTACTGTCTTTCTCTTATCATTTTTCCTTGCCAGTTTGCAGTCCTAACACCTCAGAGCTAATCCTCTCATGTTGCAGATTTGAGCTCCAAGCTATTCTAGCTCCAAGCTGAGGAGGAAATTTGGGTTCAAGAACGGGGTCCCCTTCCCAGCCTGAGCCCGTACCCACCCAATATCCATGGATCGTTGACCTAGCCTGCCTCCCTGCCCCTCCCCCAGGTTGGAAGGTGGGTGTAAGGCAGTGGGGGACACCTGGGCAGTCACAGCTGCTCTCTTTGACCTCTTGCTACAACCAGTGACCAGCATGCTGGTTCCACATTCTTGGGTCATAAAATCATCGAGGGTGGGGAGGGGAGAGCTCACAGTCAAAGGATCTCTAGGATAGATGACCCACCCCTCCTGTGACAGAGGCAGGCTAAAGCCCAGAAAGGCGAAGGGGACTCACCCAGAGTCCCAGGGCCAGCCCACACCCAGGCAGGGCCTTTCCCACTGACAACGGAACCCTGCTCTTACCTCCCAGATCTACTCCTTCCTTTTCCCAGTCCAGCCCAGAGGTGAGGAAATGGTGAGCTCCTCTGTCTCCCAGGTGTGGCCCCTGTGCCCACACCTGGAGACTGAGCGAAGCTCATGATTTCCTCACCCTAGGGCTTCCCTGAACGTGGCTCTGCATTAACCCACTGGACAGGGAGGGGATACCCTGGGCACTGGGCTATCCCTGGGGAGAGGGGTGATACCACTGGAAGTCCCTTTGGGGTCAGAGCAGGGTTTGGTTTGGGGAGTGGTGCTGTGGGGAGGGGACTGTACCCGGGCTTGCTGGGGCCCTGGGGCTGGTGAGTGCTCCTTCGGGTACCCGAGTGCCTTTCTCCAGTGACCAGCTTCATACTTTCCTCCCTTCCTTCAGGTTTCTACTCAAATATCATCTCCTTAGCAAGGTCTTTCTTGACTGTCCTGCCTGAAACAGCCAACTCCTGTCTGTCTGTCTGCTCTCTTCTCTTACCCCACCTTATTTTCCCTCTCAGCACTCATGACACATTATGTCTCCCCCCTCCACCCCCACCGCATGTTGGGTTCCCTGAGGTACAGGTTTGATCTGTCTTGCTTGCTGCTGTATTCTCAGCATGTCAAACCTTGCCTGGCACACAGTCAGCATGCCATCAGCTTTTGTTGAGTGAATGAATGAATCAGTGAATGAACGAACGAACACACTGGGCTGGGCTGGGAGGCAGATTCAGGCTCCCTCCGGGGAAGGAAGTGATTTCTGACAGGCAGAGATGTCCGTCCCCCGTGAACATCTCTGCCTTGTAGAGGACATGAGCGCCCCATCGCAGACTGGACTCTCATTGTTGAAGTTATCATGAGGGGGATTTAAAATCAAATAGGGGTGGGGGTAGTAAAGGGTAAAGGAGGCCAAATACATGGTGATTTGACTTTGGGTGGCGGATGCACAACGCAATATACAGATCATGTATCATAGAAGTGTACACTCGAAAAACCTGTATAAGTTTATTAACCAATGTTGCTCCAATAAATTTAATTTAAAAAAATGAAATGAAATAAGGGAAACAGTTATAATAAGGATGAATATACTATCACACATGAGTGGAATTATCTCAGGTGTTTAAAGGTAATCCATTTCTCAAGGAAAAATAAAATAAAATAAATTTTAAAAAGCTACCAAAATTAGAAAAAAAATCAAATAGGAGTTGGCTGCTCCCTGAGCCATGGGCCCAGCCAGGTGAAGGACGTGCCAGGCTCTGGAAAGCCCAGCTGGAGAATCGAGGCACAGCAGTAGCCTGAACGGGACAGGCCACTGGAGGAGTGATGGTTGCTGGAAAGAGCATGGCTTTGCCAAACCCAGTTATAAAATCCCTGTGACCCAAGTGCTGTGCATCGGAGGAAGGAGGGAGGAGGAAAAGAAGAGGCAGAGCTGTGCCCTCAGGAGTTCACAGCAGGCCTGGGAGGCAGCATTCCCCCCAAATCCCTGGGATCAGATGGGCACCTGCATTGTATCCAATAAAGTTTTAGTTTAGCTGAGTCAGCAGATGCTGACATCGGTATAGGTTGGGGAGGGGGGTCAGAGCCCTCTTCCTGGATGAGGGGCTATTTAGGAAGGAGGGGGAGGAACAAGACCAACAAAGCACTCAGACCCTCATCCTGGAAGGCCTCACGGGTCTGTCTACTGCATTTGGTTGGAGAGCCTTTAGGGTTACAAGCCCTGTCCCCTCTGAGCCTTTACTGTGCTGCTCCCTCTACTGGGAGTACACTTCCTAACCCTCCACCGTCTGCCCAGCTTACTTCCCTGCCTTCAGATCTTCACTCAAAGGTTACTTTCTTCAGGAACTCCCCCACCTTCTCTTACACCAACTTCAGTTTCCCATGGGACATGTCAGGACAATCTGCCTTCCCTTTATGACCCTCAGACACTTGAGGTCATTGACCTATTCATCTGTGTCCCCTGAACTGTAAACACTCACATCCCAGGGCCAGAACAGTGCTGGCACTTAGTAGGTGTTCAGTGAATATATGTTAAAAGACTAAATGGATGAATGTCTTTAAAAAAAAAAAAAAAGGAAGAAAGGAAGCTAGTTGAACAAATGCCTAAGCTGGCTAGGGCCGGGGCCCAGGCTGCTGTGGGGTACAGGAAGGACACAGATCCTCAAAGGTTCAGGGGTCCTGACCCCCACCCAGGCCTAGGGGCCTGGGTACTGCTCTCTGCTTACCTCAGCATCGTGCCCCTCACCCCCACCCCCTGCTTGAACAAGGAGGGGAACAGCTCTCAGGGGAGGCAGGATGGAGAGGTTCTCCCAGCCTCTACCCAGGCCCTGTCTTCTCCACCCTCACCCCACACCCTGAAAGGAGGAGGCAGGCAGGGTTCTTTTTTCCTACTTGTGGCTCTGGTTCCTGTTTAAAGGACTAATTTTTGCCTTGTGGGGGTGAGTTATCTCCTTGTGAAATCAAGTTGGGAAAACAAAAGAGTTTTGCCAATGAGATACATGTTGCCTCCTTCATGGACACCAGAGAGAAGGAATGAACAGGCTCCCTCCCTGCCTCTGTCCTGCCAACCCCTGCTGTCTCCTTGGGTGGCCAAAATGCCAGATTGCCAGACCAGACTTGTGTGAGCAGATGTGGTGGGCAAAGGTGTGTGAGCCTTGGGGAAGGCGCTGAAGGTGTCAGGTGCAGGTCTCTCCTGACCACACCCCTCTGGGGCTGGGAGCCAGTGGAGGTGGGGTTTCTGCCCCTGGGAGGTGTCTTTGTCAGGACCATGGTGTGTTCCCCGTCACTGAGGCCCAAAGGGGTGGTCTAGAGAGAGCCAGAACAAAAAGGGGGATTGAGCTGACCCCCCAAAAGTAGGAGGGGCCAGGAGTCCAGCAGGGAGGGTCCAGCAGACTGTTGAGCCCGCCCAGCAGCCCGCCTACCCTTTCATCTCTGCAGCTCCTTCCTCCCTGGCTCTTCCTTGAGTGTGTATCTGTAGGTCAGTCTGGGTGGGTTTGAGGAGGGGGAAGGAAGTGTATGTGGGGGTATTTGTGGGCAGCTCGGATTGGACAAACCTTCTTTGAAAATGGCCCTTTAAGCAAAAGCCTGCTGGTGGTCAGTCAGACCGAAAGGCAAGAGCCCAAGGACCCCAAGGGAACACTAGTCTCTAGGGGATAGCTAGCTACCTCCTGCAGCACCGGGCAAGACCGGGCAGGAGGCGACAAGAAAGGACAAGAGAAGCCCTTCCCCTCCTCCTGTGCCAGCCTCCTAGGCCCTCACTCCCAGACAGGCTTTTACCAGAGCTAAAAGCAAGAAAGTAACCTTTAGGACTACAGAGAAACGTTTCTTTGTTTGGGTTTCGTTCTTTCTTTTTTTTTTTTTCTAAGCCTCTTTTCACATCTGTAGTGGCTTTTTTCCTCTTGTCTGGGGGTCAGAGGAGAAGAGCCAGAGAATGTCCAGAGCAGCAGGGAACCAGACCCCCTCTGGGGCCACAGAGGACTATTCCTACGGCAGCTGGTACCTCGATGAGCCCCAGGGCGGCCAGGAGCTCCAGCCTGAGGGGTAAGTGGAGCCCCTGGCTCTGTGGCCAGCAGATGGGTGTGGCAGAGATTACTGATGGGGGGTTGGGGAAGACTTGCACTGCGTTGCTAAAATGAGCTCTGTCACTCATTTGCTGTGTGACCCTCAGCAAAGCACAGCCTCTCTGGGCTTCAGTCTCCTCATCAGTTACATGAGAACAACAGTCCTTGCCCATGTGTTAAGATAACTGAGGTGGGGACCTGACCAGGCAAATCATCTAAAAAGCATCTGTGTGGTATGTGTAAAATAGATTCCTAGGCCCCATAAACTGGTGTCTTTAGTCTGTAGGCAGGATGGAGAGTGCTCGGTGAGTAGGTGAGGGAAGTTGGACCTGCCTTAAAGGGGTTACTTGGCCCTGTGGTGACCACTTGGGGTGTGGTGTTAGCAAATGTCAGGTTCTCTGGGCAGGCTGGGGACAGGGTGAGGCACAGAACCAATGAAGAAAGCCTGGTAAGGTAGTCCTTGAGGAAACAGGCCACCCCTGTTTTCTTTGGCTGGCCTCAGAATCTGAAGATGAGGAGCCCTGTTCCTTAAGCAGGAGTGCTCCGGTCAGCCAGCGGCGGGAGGCTGCTTCAGCACGGCCGTGAGCCGGAGGAGTCGGCACAGCTGCCTCTTCCCACACCATTTCTATCTTTGTTTAGTCTGGGCACTCTGGCAGGGAACCTGGCCCTCCCATGCTACCAAGGATACTCACCTGTGAGGACCCCAGAGCCCAGTTGTCCCTTCCTTGTTCTGGCCCTGGCCCCATCCCCCACCTCCCAGCTTTCTCTGAGGGTTGGGGGAACTGGAAAGGTGAGATTGGGGTTGCTGCACCAGATGTGTGCACATCTGTTCTTCATCAACAAGAAACTGGAGAAGGAGAAATGTTCGAATGCCTCCCCAGAGGCTAGGGCTGGGGCCTGGCCAGACATGGGTCACCTGGCAGGGACAGAGTTCCCACCCTGGCCTGGGGGAAGGAGACATTTACAGGACTTGGCTCTGACCACAGGGAAGCAACCCTGCTGTCAGCAAGGAGGTGCCCCTCCTTTCCTTCTCTGGCTGACCCTGCTGCATATGTATGGGGTAGGAAGAGCAACAGAATGGGGAGGGACCCAGGAGCCCCAAGAAGACAGACCCTGACCTGGGTTAAGGCCCCTGTATGAAGCTGTGACCTTAGGCGTGCAGGGTCTGGTCCGTGGCTGGGGCCAGGTGCCTGCAGACAGCTTTGTGGTTGGGGTACTTAGATATGGCCCTAGAATAAAGTTGGTATGTGGCAGGGATTGGAGGGTGGGGAGTAGTGCTTCTAAGGTGGGTAGCATCTAGAATTTACAGCTCCCTTTCCCCACTTCAGGGAAGAAGGAAGGAGTTTGATCCTACTTACGTAGGCAACCGGAACTGAGCAGCCTGCCTTCTTTCCACCACCCCCTCAAAGGTGGGAGCCAGAAGCAGGCAGCCCAGGGGAATCCCGTGGAGGTTTCCCTGGGCTCACCTCGCATGTGTGAGTCAGACACCCCAGGGAGATGGGGCACCAAAGCTTTGAGGAGATCTGACAGTGGTCCCCCTCTGTGCCTCAGTGTGTCCCAGCAGACCTGGGGGTTGGGCTTGGTCAGCACTGGTGTCAGTGGCTGGGATGAACTCAGTCTCCTGCTCACATTTATCCATGTGCCCTGTGGTGCTGGGACCTGGTTGAAGAGGTCAGGGCTGGGGAGGTGAGTCTGATGGGGGTCGGGTGTGTCATCTGGGGTCTTCCATGGGCAAGGGATTGATCTGTGTAAGCCAAGCTGGCCCTTTCCACCCCCAGAGGTCCCTCTGGCCAGTCATGTGCCCAGCTTGACATGTGCCTGCGTGCTATCTAACCATCATCGATACTGAGCGTCCCAGCCAGAGCCTGGGATACTGCCAAGAATGTCATTCACCTCCCCATGGCTTCAAAGGGCTGTCTGGAAGGTGGAATCAGAGGCTTCCCTCACATAGGAGTTCCTGTGGGGGGCCCACACCAGGTCACCTGCAGGCCCTTCTGGTATGGGTGGGGGATCAGGAAGCAGGGCTCCAGGGCTCCTAGGACCTCATGCCCCCAGACCTCCAACCCAGGCAGTCAGCCTTTTCCTGTCACCCACACAGATGTGTTCTGCCCTCCTCTCTGGTTGGGGCCCTTTGAGGCTCCCACTCAGAGTCGAATTCTAGAAATAGTCGTCTGATTCTTTCCGTCTCAGTGTCCTCACCACACTGCCGTCTGGCCTCTGTCCCTCACTGTCCAAGACCGCGCCTCAGCTCCTTGGGCTACGTTTCGCTCTCCTGCTCACTCTTTGTCTTGATATAAGGCCTAAAACCCTACAGTCATTCCGGAAACTTGCCCTCCCTCTGCTCCGCATCCAGTGAGCACATTCTTCCTCCTGAATACTCTGAGGTGCAGCTGCCATTTCCGCTCCCAGTGACTATGCTTGCTGTACCATTTGAAAATGCTGATGTGCAACTGTTTCTGATGTACAGAAGTGGCAGTTTCATATAGTTCAACTTACTTCTCACCTCCCAGTCAGATGCAGGTGCTGGAGCCAAACTCAGTTCGAATCCTGACTCTGCTGTTTTACTCGCTGTGTGATTTGGGCAAGATATTTAGCTTCTCTGAGACCTGGCCTCTTGTCTACACACACCTCTTAGGTAATAACTGAGTTTATCCATGGAACAAACAGTGCCTGGCACTTAGTCAGTGGTTAGAAAGTACTAGTTACGGCCACTATTTATATTCTACTCTAGCAGCAGAAATCTCCTAAAATTGTCCTGCCCAGGTGGCTGTGTTGGTTGAAGCATCATCCTGTACATCAAAGGGGTGCAGGTTTGATTCTGTCAGGACACATACGTAGGTTGCAGGTTAGGTCGTGACGCACACAGGAGGCAACCGATTGATGTTTCTCTCTCGTATCAATGTTTCTTTCTCTTTCTCCATTCCCCTCTGTAAAAATTAATAAAAACAAAGCAAACAAACAATAAACAACAACAAAACATATTCTCGGATGAGGATTTAAAAAAAAAGAAAAAATCTCCTAAAATCTCAAACACCGCCCTGCTCACACACCTTTAGTGGTTCCCCAGTGCCTCCCACGCCTTAGGCTTACCCTCGGGCCGAAAGCCTGCCCAGCCCCAGCCACACTGCTCACGGCCTGTTGTTCTCTTTCTTGTGCTCTTCCCTCTCCACAGAGCTCCCTCTCTCCCGCTTTGCCTAAAGAAATGCTAACCATCTTTCAAACTTAGAGCAATACCACTGCCTCTGATACCTTGCCCCAAGGTTCTCTCCCTCCTCTGCATCCTTTAGCATCTGCTTGTGCTTCTTCCAGGATCAAGGTCCCCACCCTCCTGGAGATGGTATTCTTTGTGTCTGTGCCATTCTGTCTGTCCCACAGCACAAAACATGGGCCCATGAGGCATTAGCCAAATTCCTATTGCTCAGACCTCAATCAGCTGAGAGTCCGTGAGCCTCAGCCAAAGTGAGCTAAGAGGTAGATGGGAGACCCAGATGGTACTGAAAGGGCCAGAGGTTCCCCAAGATGGGACCTGAAGAGCATCCATAGGGGTGGGTGGGCTTTTGGTTTGGGATAAGTGGAAAAATGGCCAGGCTGCTCCAGACACAGTTTGCTGAGCCCCTACCCTAGTTTGCATGGGGGACAGGTCAGATGAGAAGATACATGCAGAGAGGGGCCCTGCCTCACCCAAATCCCCACCTGACATGCTGGGGTAAGGGGGCTCAGAGTTGGAAGTGGGGAGTGTGAGGCCTGAGCCTCACACGGCATCTGCCTTACCCATGAATACAGCTCTGCTTTGGGAAGAGGCCAGCTCTACCCTGGCCAAAAAGTTGCACAAAACAGACTTATTCTGTCCCTACAACCCAAGGGCAAGCCCAGTGACCAGGTTCTTTCCTGCTTCTCACCCCCTGAGATTTTCTGAGAGAAAACAAGCTCTGGGGAAACTAGGCTTTTCCAGAGAAGTCCCAGGGCTCTGAGCTCACCCTGCAGACGGCCTTGGGAGTCCTCTTTTCCACACCGCAGGAGGGTGCCCAGGTGGTTGGGTGAGCCTCCTGGGCAGGGAGGGCCCAGCTACAGCACCTTGCTGGCCTTGCCCACATGGGTGTCCTAGGCTTCAGCTGGGTAAACTCAGAAGTCTGCTCCTCCCCAGGGACCCAGTCCTGTCTGCTCTCCCAAGTTCAGGTCCAGCTCTGAGCTCAGGGCTCCTACCCCTTTCTTTGCCACAACCCAGTTGGGGAAGTGGAAGCCTTTATTTTGCCAATCGGTCCCTTTATCTCCACCATGGGCCTACCTCTGCACTCAGCTATGGCGAGAGTAGGTCCTCTGCCAGGTCATAGGGAGCCTTTGTGGTCATCAGAAACAGGGAACCCCATCAGAAACAGGGACCCTCATTTAGATTAATGCAACTCAGCAGGTATAGGGCTTGATGAGCTGTGTGGCCTGGATTTCAGACCATACTCATTGTCTTGCTTGGGAATCCTTGTGCAGTGTGCAAACTGCCCAGGTGTACAGGGAAGCCCTTAATGAAAGGGAAACAGGAAGAGACATAAGTCCTGAAAGACCAAGGAAAATCATTCCAGTCAGACATAGACCACTCAGATACCAGTGAATGGAGGGCAAATTGTAGGACCAAACACTTGATTGTTTGACCCATGCAGTATGCTCAGCCACAGTTCTGAGAAGAGGTCTATGAGGCCTGGAGCAATCAAGGAGGCTTCCTGAAGGAGGGGAGTAATCCAGTGGGCCTTGGAGGATAGGAAGCATCTGGGTGAGAAAGAAAGGCGGTTCAGCCCAGCTGGCCCACTCTGTTTCTCCTGTGTCTTCCCCTGGAAGCCCCTTGTCTCCTTTAGCCCTGGAATCTCAGAGCTTGGCATAGGGCTGGCACACCATAGAAATATGAGAGCCCTGGAAGGTGGGGCTGGGCACGCTTATGTAAGAGAGATCAAAGAGTTGAGGCATATGGGGCCTTGTGTAGAGAGCCTGGAACCCCAGACATGGTGGCGTACCTGGGGCTCCTTACCCAGGCATGACCTAGCCTTCACTCTATCTGCAGAGAAATGCCCTCCTGCCACCCCAGTGTGCTGCCTGGCCTCCTCCACACCTGCTTGGCCGTGCTGTCGGTGAGTCTAACCTCAATCCAAACTGGCTTGCAACCTGCTGCCAGCCTGGGCAAGGTGCTTGTGTTCCCTGCTAGGCTGATGAGGGGGCACTTGGGAGCCCAAAATGTGGGAGGGGGTTCCCACTGGGTGGGAATCCAAACCAGGATGCAGGTCAAGTCTAACCTCTCAGACTGTTTTTTCTTTTAAAAAAAAAATACACACACACACACACATATATGTATACACACACACATATATATGTGTGTATATATATACATACACACACACACACACACACACACATATATATATATATATATTTTTTTTTTTTAGAGAGAGAGGGGAAGGGAGAGGGAGAGAGAGACAGAAACATCAATTGGCCACCTCCTGCACACCTCCCACTGGGGATCGAGCCCACAACCTGGGCATGTGCCCTGACCTGGAATCAAACCAGAAACCTCTTGTTGCATGGGTTGATGCTCCACCACTGAGCCACACCAGCCGGGCCAACCTCTGACTTTTGTCACCTCTTGGCTTGTCCCCAAGATGCCACGTGAGTGTGCACAGGGGAATAGTGGGTTTCCTGAGGACTGAGGCCAAGCCCTCATACTCGGCCCATCAGGGAAGGGCCGGGCACCCCAAGCCCTCCACTGTGCTCTCCTTTCAGATTGTTGTGTTGCTGCTGCTGGCCCTGCTGCTGAGGCGCCGCCAGCCCTGGCTCCACTGTGGGCACGGCAGGTCCAGACTGCCCAGGTCGGTGCCATGGCCAGGGGACCCCTACTCAGGGACCCAGCTAGGGAATGGTGATGTGTTAGTACCTAGAAGCCAGCTCTGGCCCCAGGACACCCCCTCTTCTCTCAGCCTGGGGCTCTCCCCATCCCCACCCAATCTCCAGGTTTGGTCAGGACCACCAGAGGGAGGGGAAAGGACCTGCTCAGATTCACCTGCTCCTGTTCCGAACCCCAAGGAGCCATAAGCTCAACAGGGCCCTGCTCCAGGAAACACTTCACCAAGTGGCCCATGGTCCGGACAGGCCATGCCCACCCCACACCATGGTGACCCTCGTCTCCCTGAGGGTCTCATCTGGACCCTGGTGCTAAAGGCAGAGTGCTGAGGGGCTTTCTCCCCCTCACTCTTCAGCCCTGCAACCCCAGAGCCTGGGACAGGGATGATCCTCAGAAGATGGCCCTGAGTAGGTGGGACTAGTCAGGCTTGTGTGGGAGAGACCCAAGGGTTGGGGGAGGTGGTGGGTAGAGCCCCATTGTAGGTGGCCTTGCCCCGTGGGCCTGGGCTGCACACAAAGGTGGGTCCTACACGCTGGGTTTGTGGGGAGCTGGGGTTTCTGCCCTAACTGGGGGAAGGTTTGGGGGAGAGTAAAGCAGGACAGGGTTGTCAGGGCATGAAAGCAAGTGGACCATAGAAGTACAGGGTCTTTGTGGTTTGTCCTGAGCCCAGAGAGGTGATGCCGGGGACAGCTGTGTCCTCTGTCTGCCCTCTGCCCCAGGGCCACACTCGGGCCAGGGCGTTGGCCATTTTGTTAGGATGTTGTGACTCTCTGAGTTCTCTGGCAGTCTGCCAGCCCTGACAGAGCAATTAGTGTGGAGGCAGCTGTTTCCTGAGCATCTAGGGTGGGTGGAGAGTTAATGCTTAGGCTTGTTCCTGTGAGTGTGTGTGTGTGTGTGTGTGTGCGCGCGCGCGCGCGCGCGCGCGCGCGTGCTGGGGGTATGTTCCCAAGTCACTTTGCCACGGGGCCCAGAGCCTGGTACATAGAAGTAACTCCATGAATGTCTGTGGAATGGATGGGTGAAGGGCCTCCGTTCCCCTGTCTGGAAAGCAGGCTGGGAAGTGGGACTGGCTCTACTTTCCCAGTTAATGGAACATGCCATGAGGTAATGAGGGTATAGGGCCTGAGCAGCTCCCTCTTGTCCTGTTGCTGCCCCTGCACCAGCCCTGTGAATTTCTTGACTGCGGATGGACCCTGGACCGTGCCCACTGCTATCTTCATGGTCCTCTTCAGCTCCCTGTGTCTGCTGCTCCTGGCTGAGGCCCCACTGCCCTTCCTCGCCCTGGCCTCACCATCCAGCCGAGGTACCCTGTGTAGCTGAGGCCTGAGCCTGGATGGATGGGATGGGGTTGGGTGGGAATCTGGACCAAGAAGGCAGGGGTCTTCTATTATGAACCAAGTCACTCTCGTTCCAGTCATGAGTCACTGCCAAGAAGGCACCGTCCTCTTCCTCTCCCACTGTCCCTCCACAATGCCTGAGGCCTCCCTGTGTTGGTCCCAGACATTGGGTCAATACTGCCCTCCTTGCTTTCTCTATTCTTGGGCAAACCCCACCCTCAGGAGGGAGGGGACTCTTTTGTTCATGGGCACTGGCTGAGTCCCCCAGACAGCCCAGTCCCCTGTGAGAATGAAGGAAGGTGGGGAGGGGCCCCGGAGAACTGAGCTGAGCTCAAGGAGGTGATGGTAGACAAAGACAACTGCCATAGAGAGGGGCCGCTGTCCTGTGGCATGGCGTCTTTAGATCATCTGATCCTCACAATGACTCCACAAAATGTGGATATTAGCTCTACTCTATAGAGAATGATACTGAGGGTCAGAGAAGGAGCCAAAAAAGTAATAGCTTGTCTATTTAGTACTAACTTAGACACCACGCTGAGCACTGTATGTAGACCTTCTTATTTCATCTTTGCTAATTTAGTACTATTATTTCCATTTTACAGATGGGGAAACCGAGGCTCCAAGAGGTAACTGGCTCAAGATCACATTGCTGATACTAGTCAGAGTCTGGATTTGAACACAGGGCTCTTGCCCACTGAACCAGTGGAGGGACTGGGAAGATGGAGACATGACAGAGGCCTGGGTGGACTGGATTCAGCCCACACCTGCCCCTCCATCATTTTCTCTCTGCCCATCTTGCCTTCCAGGGTCCTGGAAGATGCTGGCCCTGCTCTATTACCCTGCCCTCTACTACTCCTTGGCCGCCTGTGCCACAGTCAGGCATGAAGCCTCACACCTGCTTGGCAGCACACTGTCCTGGGCTCACTTTGGGGTCCAGGTCTGGCAGAGGGCAGAGTGTCCCCAGGGGCCCAAGGTAACCACTGATTCGCGATGGCCTGGGACAGAGGGCCTGGAACAGCTGCTTATACCAGCATGGCTCCTTTCATCTCTCTGCATTCTGGCTTTCCTGCTGCCTTCCACTGCACACAGATTCCACCCCTTCAAACATGTGCCACTCCACGCAGTCCTGTGGGACAAGGCAGCTAGGCCAGCCCTCGGGGGCTTCTAGTCTGGAGGGGTTGAGAGGAGACAGGGGCAGGGGAGGAGGAAATGGAAGCAAGAAATCCAGCCCCTCTGTCGATCCCCGAGCCTTCTGTTGGCCAGGCTGCAGCGGGAGTGAAGGCAGATGGAGGATGGTAAGCGCTGAGTAGGGGATGGTCTCAGAGGGCTAAAAGGAGAATTCCAGAACTTTCCCTGGTTCACTGGCTGTTGGCTAGGGGTGTGAAGCTGCCCAGTCTAGACCCCAAAGTGTGGAGCTGTAGGCTTAGGAATCAGACAACCTAAGTTTGAATCCAGCTTCATTCATTCATTCATTCATTCATTCATTCATTCACTTATCCATCCATTTGTTCAGCAAACATGTTTGAAGCACATAGTCTGTACCAGGGACATTTCCAGGCACTAGAGTAGATCTGTGAACAGGAAAGATGAGGTCCCTGGCATCCCAAGAGCTACTATTTCACAAGGGGAGACACAATAAACAAACAAACAAATGCACAAAAACTGATGCCATGTGGTGCCGATGCTCTGAGGAAACCGTGCACCTTTCTGACACTCAGATGCTCCCCTGCGTATGGACTTGATATTACCAATCTCTCGGGGTAGAGGTGAAGATTAGTTGGTTTCGCTGAGAGCAGTGACTTGATTTGTCTTTTTCACACCCAGAACCTGTTACATACTAAGCTCTCAATTAAAAGGTATTAACTAACAATAAATGAATGAATATATGAGGGGCGCAGCGCTGGGACTTCAGAAACAAAGACTTCAATGCCAGGAGGTAGGGCACATACTTTCCTGATGACCAGGTTGCAAATTGCATAGATATAATTAGACCTTTGTCTAATTTTCAGAGGCCTGTATCCAAAGTGTCAGGAACACAGGAATACAGAAAGTGGGTGTTCCTGTTTCAGGCCCCATTGCAACCCCCTGGGTGGGAAGGAGGGCATTACATAATATCCTCCTTTTGGCTTTTCTAAGGGCCATGGGAGTCCAAGAGCCTGGGAGAGGGGCAGGCATCTTTGCAGGGTCCGAGAAGGTGAAGTGGAAGTGATTGTCCTGAGTGGCTGTGGTTGGGGGTGATTGGATGATGAAAAAAACCAGAAGCCTTCCCATGTCACCCAGACCACCCTCAGAGTCCTGGGTGAGGTTGGAAGGGATATGGATCCTGGCCTGGTGTCTGTCTGTCCATCCAGATCTACAAGTACTACTCCCTGCTGGCCTCCATGCCCCTCCTTTTGGGCCTCGGATTCCTGAGCCTGTGGTACCCAGTGCAGCTAGTGAGAAGCTTCAGCCATAGGATAGGAGCCGGCTCAGAGGTAAAAGGGACTGGGCTGGACTCCCCGTGTCTGTTGGTCTCCTACATGTGGTGGCGCTTGGTGGAGGACCCAGCATGTAGCAGCTCTCAGAAAAGATTTGCTGAGTTGCCAAGTAACTGGTTAGTCCTCCCAACTCAAAGGATAGTCAGGCCCTGGGATGTCATAGTAGGGACTCTGCCAAAGAGAACTGGGCCAGAGACAGTAAGGCATAGCTCTAGTTCTGAAACACTGGAGACATGAGACAATCAGGGGCCTTGTCTCTGCTAGGAGCTCTGCAGAGGCTGACATAATCCAGGATGCACTCAGTGCAGAACTGTGTTATAAATCCACTCTCGGCTGGCTAATGTCACATAAAGGGGAGGGCTTCCTGGAGGAGGTAGACTTGAGCAGGAGCCTGAAATTCAGGCAGGATCTGGAATGGGGAGAGAATAGGGAGAAGGCATTGCAGGCACAGAAAAGAGCATGGGTAAAGGAGCAGAGATGGGTTGCGTCTGTTCTGTCCATGCCTGATTTGCAGCACCCAGGTCTTAGCACTATAAGCACTCAGCAAATCTTTCTGAAGTTTTGGGTAGATAGATGGGCACATCGAGAAGTCTTACAAGATATGATAGTTTTATTTAGAAGACTTCTGAGCACCTATCAAGTGCCAGGCCCAGGGTGAGGTGCTGTGGACTCAGAGCTGACTGACTGTGTCTGACCCCGAGCTCCCAGTGTGCTGGGGATGGATGCAGCTGCACGTGTTCACAGCAAGAACAGTGCGCAGGCTCATCCTGGTGCATGAGCGTGCAGGTGGGGGTGGGACCAGGTACTCTTTCTGGTGAGAGAGTAGGATGAGGACATTGCTCCACAGAGGCCCTTGAGAAAGGCTCAGGACACAGAGGCAACAGCTGGTTACTCTTCAGCTGGGGAAGGTGAAGGAAAGGGTTGAAGTGCAGCATCTAGGAAAGAGAGCAGGTGGGTGGTGGTGCCAGTTGCTGACACATGTTACTCTGGATGAGAGCGGGAGTGCGGGGGACCATGCACTTGTGTGAGTTTGGATTTTAAGGGTCTGGTAGGTAGCTGGAGCTCAGAAGGGGCTGGGACTGACCCAAGGAGTGAGGTCCATAGGGAGGGATGGAAGATAAGGGGAGGAGAGGCTGGAGTGGGCTCAGGTACTCCAGGGGCCACCCTGGATCCCTGTGGGCTCACCTGACTGGGTTTGGCTTTCATATAGCAGCAACAGGGTTCTGAGTATTTGTCACTACTGCCTCCTTATCCTCTAGGGAAGCCTGTTGTCTCCTCGTTCTTACAGCTGGCTCAGAAAAGGAGCCACTCCCCAGGGTATACAGTGCACCAGGCACGGTTCTGCCTCACTGAACCCCTCCCCTTGTTCCTCCAGGCAACTTCTCTGCCTTGCCTTCCCCCTATTGCATGCCTATCCTCTTGAGAAGTCTTGGCAGAGATAAAATACTCTTTGGCTCTTAGTCAAAGAGGTTTAAGCCTCAAAGGACACAGTCAAGCTTTGAGCTGACTCACATCTGTCCTGGATCCCAGGGTTGCTGTGGCAACAGGTGACAATGGCCTATATTCTCCTAATGATGGGGGCAGGGACTCACCCCCTATTCCCATGGGTCTCTGCCACTTGGCAGTGAGCTTAAGGCCTGGAACGTGGCTTAGACAAATCCTACCACCCTTGTGATCTCTCTTGAGTAGAAGGAGAGGCCTGAGGCATCTGACCTGGAACGGCCCCTTCCTGTGTCCTGATCATAGATGTGCCACAGTCTCAGTTAGCAGAGGTCAGAGGGCCAAGAGGGAAACAACGATGAGATGTGACTGAGTAAAGCAGGAGAGGGTTGGAGCTAGACCTTAGAAAGAACTTCCCAGCATTGAGTGTAAGCAGACCAATTAATCTTGTATTTGATCAGGAAGAGAAAAGAGCAGTGTTGGGGGATATGGGCCTCATCCCACAGATTGGCCCTTCTCTGCACTCCACCACGACCAAGAGGTTTTTATGGAGCATCTACTGGGTGCTCACTGTGGTACCTGAGCCAGGGTCCCAGGGGTGGCTTAAGGCAGGTCTCATCTGTCTATCCCCACAGAGGCTGCAGGGCAGCTTCCCTGAGGAATATCTGAAGACCCTCCTCTGCCTGAAGAAGCTGAGAAGCAGGTGAGGTTCTAGGCACACCCCCTAGGCCAGTGGGCAGGGGGCTGGCAGTGGGCAGGCTAGTGGGACAGAAATGAGGAATGAGCCAAACTCTAGGGCTCAGGGATTCCCCTGAGTCTCCTCCACACCCTGGGTCTTTCTGCAGCTCCCACACATTCAAGCGTGGCTTCCTGCCCCAGGCCTGGATCTGCTTCAGACACTATGTCTACACTCCACAGCGAGGTATGGAGTGGGGAGCTGAGGTCCAGAGTGACAGGTGATCTCCCCCTTTCCATGCACAAAGCAGCTACAGGTCAGCTCCTGCCACCCCCAGAACCGTGTCATCAGGAAGAACAGCCCCCAGCTTGGGACAAGAGGAAGCCCCTGGTCTGGCCTGGCCTTGGTGGTCCAGGGTCCTATGAGTCCTGGCCCTTTTCCTGGGTCCCTGGGGAGGTATGGGAGCTCCTGGGCCTGGGTGGTGCTAGGCTCACCGCGCTCCTCTTTTTGGGGACTGCAGGATTCCGACTCCCGCTGATGCTCGTGCTTTCAGCCACGCTGACAGGGACGGCCATCTACCAGGTATGTCCTGCCTCTGTGCCATTGCCTCCGGACTCCCAAGTCTGGACAGCTCAGGCCCAGCTCAGCACTCCAAAAGCGTGGCTCGCAACTGTCCAGCTGCTTCTGATGTCTTGGCAACGCTGGCCTACCCAGAGGCGGAGGCGTTAACTCTTGTTGAGCTCACACAGAGTCAGGGCACGTGTTTTTGAGTCACATAAACAAGGGTTTAAATCCTAACTTCATTGTTTACCTCCTGTGTGACCTTGCACAGGTTAGTCAACATCCTTAAACCCACTGACTCAACTAAAAGTGGAGGAAATGCCTTCCTCTTCCGGAATTTGGGAGATTTAGTGAAATAACATGTGTTTGATAAATCCCCACCACCCCTACCACCATCACCACCAGCACTTACAACAAACAAACCAAAATCTCAGGGGGTAGGTCATTTTTCTCCGTTTCACAGAGGGAAGACACTGAGGCGCAGACAGGTGAATTTGATTTGGCCAAGTTCCCACAGCTGATATCTCAGGGCAGCTCATGTCCGAGTCCAGGCCTGTCCAGCGTCGATGCTTCTGCTCACTTACAGGACACTTTGCTTTCTCCAACTTGGAAAAATTGGACATTTTATATTCTGATGTGTAAGATAGATGATTGATAGATTGACAGATGGGTGTAGATATACAAGTATGCTGCCTGAAAGCACACCTGTGGCCTATGAGGCTAAAACTGGATCTGTTTGTAACATGCTGATCAAAGGCCTGAGGATGCTGCTCTTGGGGGCAGACCAGAGCACTGATGGGTGCCAGGTGTGGGCATGTAGGCCGTGTGCTGCCCTGAAGTCTCCATGTGACTCAGAAAACACTTTTCCTAGGATGGGAGCGCCTGGTCCGGCACAGCCAGGCCCTAGTGCTCTCATTTGGGGGCTCTTCCAGGTGGCCCTGCTGCTGCTGGTGGGTGTGGTACCCACCATTCAGAAGGTGAGGGCAGGAATCACCACGGACGTCTCCTACCTGTTGGCCGGTTTTGGAATTGTGCTCTCAGAGGACAAGCAGGAGGTGGTGGAGCTGGTGAAGTACCACCTGTGGGCTCTGGAAGGTGAGGTCCCTGGAAGGGGCGGGGTCCCTGAGGGCCCTGCAGTGGGGGGATGTGAGCTGGGTGGGATACCTGAGCTGCGTGCCCTTGGGCACATTCCTTCCTCTCTCTGGGTCTCCATAGCTTCATCTCCCAATTGTGGGGTGGGGGTTGGAGCTTCCAGTCCCGTTTCAGACCTGAAGGGGTCATCTCAGTAGCCCATCATTTTTTGTGGTGTCTCCCACTCTCACCCCCAGTGACTTTGCCCAGCTCTGCAGGCTGGAGATGGGGAAGGCCATGTGTTTATGAGCTGAGGGAACAGCCCTGGGGGCTTTGCTGAGGGTAGTGAGAGAGGCAGGAGGGAAGCTGCCAGACGGACGGATGGAGCATCAGTATGTGAGCTCATTCTCATGGCAGTTGGGTGGGGTTGGGCAGAGCCGATGCTTTTTCTTCCCCAATTCCAGCCCTCCTGGGCTACCTTCTTTCTTCCTCCCTCCATTGACAATACCAGCCTCCCCTTCTGGGGTCACATGCCTCCTTCATCTCTTAGCTCTGTTACCCACCTCCCAGGCCCTCCCAAGAGCCCTGAGGCGCCTAGAAGTGTCCCCACCTACAATGGGGAAGGACTCACCTGAGGTTGTACAGTCAGGTAGGAACCAAGAAAAGAACTCAGTCTCCTGATGCCTCCCTCCACTGGGGTTCTCTCCACCACCTTGAGACCAAAGCCTGGTGGTCAGGAGTCAAGGGGCCTGCACCTCTGCTGACTCGGGAGTCCCTGGCTGGTATGGGCACGCTGGCTCCTGAGGAGGAACATGTGATAATTGGAGCCTAGGCTGCCAGTAGCGCAGGCAGAGGTGTGACTGCTCTGCAACTGCCCCTGACCATCAGTGTCCTCATCCACAGCCCAGGGAGTGGGGTGGGCAGAGCTGTGTTCAGTACTGCTTCTTCCCTGACACCCCCCCCCCACCTTCCTGAGCGATTCTCCTCCCATACCCGAGGCCCCTGGAACTGTGCCTGAGGCCCACAAGCTGGACAGGTGACAAGTTCTGGGTGGGCTGAAATGACATCTTCAGGGAGATTTTCCAAGTTGGCTACAGTCTGGGCCACAGGCAGAAGTAGACCTGGCTCACATGGGTCCACACCCAAGCACAGATCTCACAGCATCTCTGTTAGGTTAACATCATCTCAAGGGTTGGAGGCAGGAAGTGACATGTCCAGGACAATGGATTCTGCTTCTACTCAATACACCTGGCATTGATAATCACATGCTGTGGTTTCCAAGCCCAAAGGCTCCCACTTTGGATCTTCTCAGGGACAAACAGCAGTGTTTACTCTTCTAGCTCACAGATGAGAAAAACTGAGGCCTGGGGGCATTAGAGATATGTCCAAAGCAGTCAGCAAGCCAGAGTGCAATTGAGATTAGATGTGAGCTTGGGACCCCGTGATTAGTTCTTAGCCTAAGGAGCTAATGCTGTCTGAGCTCCGAGAGCCTGTTTTAGGGCTGCCACCCCAGCATCCCCAGTGCCTGGTTAGTAAATCTGGCATTATTCACAAAAGTGCATACTCTGAGTCAGACAGACTAGATTAGAATTTCTGCTCCACCACTTAATAGCTGTGTGACCTTGGGCAAGACACTTCTCTTCCCTGGATCGTAAATTCCCCATCTGCAAAGTGGTGCTGAAGGGGCAAAGGCAACCTTGTCCTTGAGGCCCTGGATCTGATAGGGAAGACATATATCCACCAAACAGATGGATCCACCAGAAGGGAGCAGGTGCAGTGACCAGAGGAGGCAAAGTACAGGAAGATGTTATGGGCTTCAGGATTAGGAGGGACCCAAGTTTGGAATCAGTTTAAAAGAGGTAGATGGAGATCAAAGGCTGGGCCTGGGCCCCATGAAGGCTCCTCACCTCCTGGCAGAAACAGTCTGAATGCACTTTTGCTGGTGCAGAACCGGCCCCTGAAGGGCAGGTGGAACCGGGCAAAGCTGTGCATGCTCAGAGCTTTCTCTCGGCTTTACTTTTCCGAAAAGTGCCACCTCCTACCACTGGAGGAGAGTCCAGGACAGGCAAGGAGGCTCAGGTTTCTGGAGCAGTTTTAAAGTTCTGGTAACTTTAAAAATCCCAAGACTCAAGCCCCAGGTCTGACTTCAGAAACCTTGAGGATGGGGCCCTGGTGATTCTGACGCGAGCCTATGTCTGTTTGAGAACCACTGTAGCAGGCACTCTATACATGTCAGTGGTTGATTGATCTCAGTCAATGGCCGGTTGAAATAAACCATTAAGGCTCTGTCTTCTGAAAGCCCCCAGTACAGTGGTTCTCAGTGCTGCATGCCAGGATCACCCGAGTTGTTTTCACAAAAGCTAAGGCCTAGGTCCCACACCCAGAACTTCTAATTTAATTGGTTGGGGTGCAGCCTGGGCCATGGGGGTTTTACTATCTCCAGGCAATCCTAACATGCTGCCAGTGCCCAGCCCACTTCTCCAGCACCTGTGATTATGTGGAACTGATGCATTTCACCACCTCCTCCGGTGGAGAGGCCCTGGATCTGGAACCAAGAACCCTTCCCTGGGCTGGCTGATGAGCTCAGGGTGCAGGCTCCCTGGGCTCTTTTTGGGTCTGCTTGGAAACGGTTCTACGTCTGGCTCTGTCACTTCCTAGACTGTGGCTGGCAGGTCAGACCCTCTCTCAGCTACTTCTTTGGTTCCATGGTTTTCTGTGTCTCCCCTGTGGGGATGTTTTGAGGGTGCAGGGCAAGGCTGGGTATGGATATAAGGTGGAAAGGGTACAGCCTTCATCCCTGCTGTGCTTAAATGCCAGGCTTGCTCACAACACACCATGTGTTCTCTCCCAGCGGCTGGTGAGACAGACTCATGATCTGTGCTCATGGCTGGGGTGGGCAAGGAGGCGGGGTAGAGATGGGTAGTAGCGGTCACCTCCCCTCATTCTGATGGACTCAGGCCACACTAAAGGTCACTCGCATCCTTGTGCCTTGAACAAAGGCCACTGCTGCAGGCCTGGATGGGGCTTTATGGCTCACATCATGCTGCGAGATGGGCAGCACAGCAATGTGCCTGGCATGAGCTAGCTGGGCTGAGAGATGAAATGACCCCTGAAGCCTGCACGATCAGGGAGCAGTGGAGTTGAAGGCAGATGCCAGCTTGGATGGAGTTGCTCACTAGGCGTCACACAGCAATAGATGCAGCAAGACCCGGGAGAGGGCCAGGTCTGAAGCCTGAGGTGGCCTCTCCCCATCTTGGCCACCCTAGGTCACCTGGCACTCTAGGCCAGCTGTGGTTGTCAACTTACACCGGGTCTGAGAACAGGGAATGTGACAAGAGGCTTCTGCTCAGAGTAGGGTATGGGGCAGGAGCAGCTCCCCACTAGGCACACCCTGGCAGCAGTTAGGAGGCTCCCAGGAGATCCTCCAGGCCTGGTCTCCCACTTTGCTCCCTCTTCACCCTCTAGTTTGCTACATCTCGGCCTTGGTCCTGTCCTGCTCACTCACCTTCCTCGTGCTGATCCGCTCGCTGGTGACACACAGGTTAGTGGCAGGCTCTGATCCTCAGCGTAGATGCGGGGAGGAGGTCAGAGTCTTGTGGGCCTGTGGGATCCCTGACCCAGAAGGATGTGTTGGGAAAGCCCTGGGGCTAGAGGGACGGAGGGTCTCTGCAGGCCAAGGCTGTCATAGCCCAGCTGCCCTGTGTTGGGCAGAGAAGGGGGAAGTTCAGTCTGTGTGGGTAACTGTCTAGGAATGATCTAGGGCACAACCAAGTAGGGGTTGGAATGTGGAATTGCCCTCTGAGAGGGACCACCTGGTGGGCTGGATTTGCTAGGGGAGACACCTGGGAATGGGAGGGCATGGAGCTGAGGGAGGGAGGGTGCCACAGGAGGAGAACTTCGTGAGCAAGGGCACAGAGGCTGGGGGAGCCTAATTCTTGTGCGTGTGGGCGAGGAGGTGGTCTGACTGGCATTGGGGCGTTGATTGTTACGGGACACTAAATGCCAGATGACCCACCTTACCTCTTCATGGTGACTGATAAAGGAGCACAGAGGACATGTGAGCAGAGAGGAAGAAAAGGGTCTGGTGGGAGGGGGGGGGCAGGCTCTTAGCGATGTCAGAGAACTGGTTCCTCTGCCCTACACATTCATCAGACCTTGGAGGCCCCACCCACAGAGCTTTCCTCACAAGGTTAGCCCCACTTAGGCTGCCATTCAAGGTCCTCAAGCCTCTGCCTCAAGGGATTATGTTCAGGCACATTCCTGCTTGTGTGAGAGAGGGCTATGCCAAGATGGGCTATCAGGAGACAATGAGATCCATGTCACTGGGGGTACGCAAGCAGGGTTCCACTGACATAGATGGGGAACCTTGCCTCCCACTCTGGCCAAGCTGTGAGTCACTTTCCATCTCTTCTGTTGCTTCTCACTTTTCTGACTTGGCTCACACTGAGCCTTCTGCCTGAATTTTGTCTCCCTGGATTCCCACCCCACCAGCTTACTCTTAGTCATCCTTTAAGACTCTACTCAAACCTCACATCCTCCGGGAAGTCCTCCCTGACCTCCCAGGCTGGATGAGTAGCCTCCTCTGGGTTCCCACAGCCCAGGCTTCCCTGCCCTTGGGTACAAGACTCAGAGTTCAGCTAGTGGCTGGCCCAGAGGAAGAATTTAGGGAGTATAGGGTGCTCCCTGAGATCTCTGCCTTCTCACCCCCATCCCAGGGCCAATCTTCGAGCTTTATACCGAGGGGCTGCCCTGGACCTGGGCCCCCTGCCTCAGAGTCCCCACCCCTCTCGCCAGGCCGTATTCTGTTGGATGAACTTCAGCGCCTACCAGACTGCCTTTACCTGCCTTGGTGAGCCTCTCTAGCCCACCCTGCTGGGCCTTGGCCCTAGACACTGACTCCAGCGAGGGAGGGGAGAGTGCTTAGCAGGACTTGACTGTCCTGGGTGTTTTCTGGGGAATGTTCTGGGACAAGAGTGAAAAGAGAGACCCACCTGGCCTTCCCTGTGCTCAGGAAGCTCACTCAGATGGGGCTGGGGGACACAGGAGCCCTTGAGGAAAGGCTCCCCCTAACATGAACATGGTCCCTGGGTGGCACCAGTTGTTTACATAGGGGTGGGTCCCCAGCTGGAAGGTGGGAAGCTCAAGGAGGCACATCCCTTCTTGTGTGAGGGACAGCTGTGCAATGACGGGCCATCTCAGGAGGTAATGAGATCCATGTCACTGGGGGTATGCAAACAGGGTTCATGGCCATAGATGGGGACTGCAAAGGTGGTTCTGCCTTGAAGGAGTTGGACTAGATTAACTCCCAGGACCCTCCCAGTCCTGACAGTCTGTCTCTCCTTGGGCACAGCCGTGAGCGAAGCCTCTGAAAGCAGGAGCCCGGGCCAGCGTTTCCTCTCCTGGTTCTTTCAGTTCTCACCCTGCGCCAGGGCGAGGGTAGGAGGATGATCAAGCAGTCGAGGAATTACCAGCACTGGAAGTCATAATTCCTCATCTTGGCTTCTATACATGATCCCACATAAGCAATTAGCTAGTTGTTTCAGTAGACAACTGTAGGGCATCTACTGTGTACCTCTGGCCAGTAGGAATGCAAATATTAATTTAAAATGCAGTCTTGTCCCCAAAGACTCAGGAGCAAAATAACATTTACAAAGCAACTTGTAATTTTCAAAGAGTTGCCACAGCCATAATCTCATTGGGTCCTCACAACAGCCCTGAGTGGTAGGGTCCACTCTCCCCATTTTACAGAGGAAGAAACCAAAGCTCAGAGATATAAAGTAACTTGCTCAAGATAGCACAGCAAGGCAGCAGAGCAGGGATTTGAAACCAGATCTGCCCGATTCCAAAGTCTTTGGGTTGCTGGGAGTGCAGAGGCTGATGTTTGCCCCCCTCCCGCAGGGCTCCTGGTGCAGCAGATCATCTTTTTCCTGGGGACCACAGCCCTGGCCTTCCTGGTGTTGATGCCTGTGCTCCATGGCAGGAACCTTCTGCTCCTCCAGTCACTGGTGTCTTTGTGGTGAGAGGGGCAAGGGGCTGAGGGCTCTGGGACCCCTTCCCAGAGCGCCACTAACAGTGGCACCCTCCTCTCCTGCCTGCAGGCCCTTCTGGCTGACCTTGGCCCTGGCTGTGACCCTGCAGAACATGGCAGCCCACTGGGTCTTTCTGAAGACTCACCATGGATGGCCAGAGCTGACCAACCGGTGAGGCAGCTCCTGAGCTTGTGGCTCTTCCCGGCTCCGCCTGTTCTCCTTTGGTGTCTCTAGCTCTCCCCTTCTCCCTCCACAGCCGTCTCTCCCCTTCCCTCTCAGGGGGCCTTGTGGGTAGTAGAGAGAACTTGTCATACCCACGGAGAGAGGGGCAGTGGCCCATCCTACTCCACACATCTCTCTGTTTACCTGTCACGAGGCCAGAATCAGCCCATTAGCCTTTCTTGCTTTGGGGATCAGCACTGCCGTCCCCTCAATCCTCTGTGCCCTCCACACCACGCACCTTCTCTTTGCAGGAAGGTTAACAGAAACATTATTTCCTCGTTGGATGGCAAGGCTGCGGGAGGACCTTGGCCCCAGGAGAGACTCAGAGTCACTGGACAAGGGACCTAGAGGAGGGAGGTGGGAGGCATTGGGGTCACAGAAAGATCTAGGTGGGACTGGACTTAAACCCTAGCTCTGCCACTGACTAGCTAGACAGCTTTAGCTAAGTCACCCAATTTCTCAGGGCCTCGGTTTCCCTTCTAAAGGAGGGAGTAACATGGCCTGTCTCCCAGAGTGGTGGCAAGGGCCAGCTGAGTTGAGAGCTGGCCCAGGACAGGGTGGTGTACATACAAGGTGTACTCAATACAGTAGGTGCTCAGTGAGTACACAGCAGCTGTGGTCACCTGGGTCTGTCCTTATCCAGCCCCTAACCCTGAGGAAAGGGCTGTTTGTGGGGACCTGACTCGGCCTTCCTTCTCTCCAACCCTAGCTGCATGCTCTATGCAGCTACCTTCCTTCTCTTCCCCATCAACGTGCTGGTGGGCGCCACGGTGGTCACCTGGCGCATGGTCCTCTCTGCCCTCTACAATGCCGTCCACCTTGGCCAGATGGACCTCAGCTTGCTCCCACCTAGAGCTGCCACTCTTGACCCTGGTAAGGTCACAGGGCAGGGGCCAGGGTGGGGTTTGCTCAGGTTACCCAACATCAAGGGAGGATCTGCCCTGACCTGGTCTATGTTTGCAGAGGGTGCTGGATACCACACCCGTGTGTGCAGTGGGCCCAGGTGGAGTGTGTGCGCTGCGTGCTCAGATGGCTCTGAGCTTGCACGCAGTGTGCAGGGTGCCCATGTGACTGTGTTGGGGACTGTCTGGGCCCTCCTCCCTGAGCACCGCCATCCCTACCCAACCCAGGCTACCACACCTACTGCAATTTCTTGAAGATTGAGGTCAGCCAGTCGCATCCAGCCATGATAGCCTTCTGTGCCTTGCTCCTGAGAACGCAGAAACCCCAGCCCTGCACGGCCCCCCAGGATGGCTTCAGACTGGGGGCAGGAGAAGAAGGTGCGCCTTCCCATTGGGGATTGGAGAGTTGGCCTACCCACAGCTTTTCCCAGGGAGGAGGGATGCATCCCTTCCCAACATGCACCACTGAATGAGTGCCAGGAAAATGCTCACTTCTTCTGTCCCTGGGCTGCCTGTGCGAGAGAGGAAGTGGGAATTTTCCTGGTCCATTTCGGTAATTTTTTCCATCATGTGCATGTGTGTGCACACACACTACCCCCCCATACACATGTATACCTACACACCCTCTCACACACACCCCCCATACACACACTCTCACACATATACTATCTCACTCACACCCATGTGCGCGCGCGCACACACACACACACCCCCACACACACCCTCTCACAGAGAATGAGACAGCCATCTTGCTAAGGGGCTCTGTCACCCCCCCACCCCCCCATCCTGGGCCACCCCTCCCCATCTCTCAGTCCTCCCCCTCCCCTTCCCCACTGTCTGGGAAGTGTGTAGTAATGAGGGGACTCTAAGCTGGCTCCAGACCCATGTCCCAGCCCTGCCTTCAGTCCCCTTCACAGAGCTCAGCCTCCCCATCTTCTGTCTGCCACCCACAGGATGACGTCCTGAGCCTTTGCAAACACCCCTCTCAGCCCCATGCTTTACCTGACACCTGGAACCCAGTCTCACCAGCCTTCTCCACACACGGGATTTTCAGAATGTGTTCAGGTCTGGGTGCGGGGAACTTGGCTGGGTTTGCTGAATGACTCACAGAGGTCTCCCCCTCCCAGGGATGCAGTTGCTGCAGACCAAGGACTCCATGGCCAAGGGAACGGGGCCCAGAGCCTGCCAAGCCAAGGCTCGCTGGGGTCTGGCCTACACGCTGCTGCACAACCCGGCCCTCCAGGCCTTCCGGAAGAGGTCTCTGTTAGGTGCCCAGGCCAATGGCACCCAGCCCTGAGAGTGGGGAACACCAAGGCATGTGTCCCCATCTTTGGATGCTTCCCCTCTTCCCAGCCCATTCACTCCCTGGCTCTCCCAGAACCACCCAGCCATGGCAGCCTCTCTGCTTAGCACCCGCTCTGCCAGCACTTCCCAGGATCAATATCCCAGTGACCGGCCCTCAAGGCTGGCGGTCACTGTGGTTGAGTGAAGGTCTGTCTACACTTTGAGCCTTAGAAGGGCTCTAGTCTGCGCCCTTGGCCTTGGCAAGCCACAGGCTCTAAAGAAAATGGTAGTTTAGGCCCTTGGTCCAGGAGCCAGTGGAAACAGAAAAGCTACATCCAAGTCTCTCCATGTTGGCCCTGCTCCAGCCTCCAGGGTTGGTGATTGCAGCTGGGACAGCCTCAAGCTCCAGCTCAGCCCCATCTCTGCCCTGACCTCACCGCCGTTCTGCAGCTTCCCCTCTCCTCTCTGGGGTCTCGTGGCCAGCAGGGCAGCCAGGAGGAAGCCCATGGGCTCCTACCTGCAACAAACTCATGGCTCACGTCAGGCCCCACACTGAGATGCCCACGCTTGAGAGCTGATATTTTTGTAGTTGGTATGCCTTTAGATATTATAAAAGAGGTTAGTGTGCTCACTGTAATAAAGTTGTCCTTGAGAAACAGTCCTCTGTAGGGGAGGGTCACGTGGGGAAAACTGCCCACATAGGGTTTATGGGCCTTGGGTGAGGGTGGGGTATTCTGGTCACATGCTAGGCTGGGTCCCCCTGGGTGAAAGGCAGAAAAGACAGCCCCTAGTCACATCCCTTGGTGGTGAAGAGACTAGGGACCCTATGATGTCACCCCTAGTGTGCTGTGAGGGAGCTATCCTGCTGGAAGTGGGCCAGGGACACAGGGGGGAAGGGCAGCTGGTGGGGAGGAGGGTACGGGGTTTACTGTGGGGCTGGGGCTACAGAGGGTGAGGAAAATGTGGCTACTCCACACATCAAGATCAGTGGGGCCTCAAAAAAATGTCTGCGCAATCAGTGGAGACCAACTCCCTTCCACGTTCCTGCACCCCAGCTACAGCCAAAAACACACATGAAGCCAGGGGCAGAGCCAGGGAGCTGGAACCCACCTTCGAGGCTGTCTGTGCAGAGGGCAGGCCATGGAAAGTGTCTTCCTGGCCCTGTGTTGGTGACTGACAGGATCACAGGGATGAGAAGCAGACTAGGTCTCAGCCCTTAACAAGGAAGCAGAGGACACAACACCAGGGCTGTGTGAGCCAGAGGAGGGGGCGTAGTCCACATTGGGAAGCAGGGGGGCAGCGCACCCAGGAAGGCTTTCTGGAGCCTGTGGTACCTGAGCCAAGTCTCGAAGGCTGACTTAGCCAAGTACGGAACAGGGAAAGGTGTCCAGACCGAGGGAACAGCATGAATAAACCCAACACAGAACATTTAGAGAACAATTAATTAGCAGTTCTACGAGAGGCCGGGAGGGGTGGGGGCCCTGGGAGAGCACTCAGAGTAGCCATGAATAGTTGGCTGGGAACTTAGAGCTTCACCCCAGGGCAGTGGGGGCCATGGATGACTTTAAGGCTGGAGAGTAGCCAGTTCATTCAGAGAACAGCTGTTTCCCAGTTGCCCCTGACTCGGGTCTCAGGGCCACATCCTACTCCAAGAAGCCAGGCCTGCTCAACTGAACGGAGCCAGAGGCATCAGAGGGCCAGGTCAGGTTGGAGTTACCGAGCCCTAGCTAATCAGAGCCACCGGGGCTTTCGGCATTGCCATGTCCTACCCCATGATTCGTTTTCTTTCATTTTTTAATAATTCATTTCTTTTATTCAGAAATATGGCATTTTAATTCTCACCCAAGGATATATTTTTATTGATATTTTAGAGCGAGGGGAAAGGGGAGAGAAACAGAGACAGATTGGGGGGGGTGCATTTTGGGTACAGGATGACGTTCCAACCAATGGCCACACCAGCCAGGGCCTGTCTTTTGTTTTCTAAGGAAACTAAGCACAGAGATGGGCAGTGACTTATTCAAGGTGGCACAGCACAGGGGCTCAGCTCCCTCCTGCTGCTTTCCCCCAGATGTGCAGTCATCCTTGACATGTGCTGCTGGTTACATCTGCTCAGTGGGAGCTGCAACCTGATTGGAGGGTGAGAAGTGCTGCATGTGGACCATCAGGTGGTGCTACCCTAGGCTCTTTGGTCTCCTTGCCTCCACTTTGCTGGGCTCTGGGCAGAGGTGGCAGAGCTTCTCCCATGGGGTCTTGTCCTATGGAAAGGGACGGGGATGGAGGCAGAGGGGAGATGCATCTGGCCCAGCACAGATATGGGGTTCTATAGTCCCCAGGTCCTGATCCCATCTGCCTGCTCCCCATCCTAAGAGACCTGCAGGCTGCTTCGAGGCCCTCACTGCCCCCCACCCCGACACACAAGTCAAGTTATTGGTCCATCTGCTCTGTGGGGTGACTCCTACAGAAAGATGTTCCTCCAGGAATACCATTTCCTCTTCCTGAAAAGGTGGGAGAAAGTACATCCATTTCCTCCGGCTTCTCCCTCATATCTGTTCTCTTATTTTCATTCTCCCTGGATCATTTTTCTTCCCTCCTTCCTCTCTCTTCTATGTCCCATGTCTCTGTCCCCTCCCTTTGCTCACCCCTCCATCTTGCCTTTTGTCCTCCCTTCCGTCTTTGCTCCCTAACATCTCTTCCCCAGGCAGGACCAAGAAGAAGGGCACAGCCCAGGCGCTTTTCTTCCCTGCCTCTGTGCAATGCATCCTCAGACCCCTACGGGCACAAGCACCACTCAGGGTCCCAGGGAAGCCTCTGTAACGGCTGTCAGGCCAGTGCTCCCATTTGTCTCCTGGGCTAATTTGGGAGGGACATCTGCTGCTCAGCTCAGCTGGAGGCCCAGCCTCTCACCTACCCCTGGGCCATCCATGCTACCTGCCTGCCAAACGGTCTGTGTGTACCTCATAGGCCTGTCCCCCTGACTCTCTAGCCCCTGGGCTTAGCCACCTTGGGGACTTCTTTGGAGGGGTGGGCTACAGACACATACTTGGAGAGAGGCAGGGCAGGTGTCCAGGATGGAGGAGTAGAGGCTGAAGAGGAAGGGTGAGAAGAAGAAGGCCATCCCAGACCCTCTGACCCTGTCTGAAACGAGGACAGAGACTACAGAGCCCCCAAATCATCAGGAATGCCCTGGGCAGCAGAGGCTCAAGCAGGTCGCCGAAAGCCTCAGAGCCACACGAGCCACTGCCAACATCCCATCCCTTTCTCCTGTGCCGTGTCTGCTTCCAGCTCCCTCCCTGCTGAGCCCTCAGCTCCCAGCCGCTGCCAGCTGCTCAGTCCCAGTGTCTGGGATTCCACCACGAGGCTCTGCCAGTTGGTTAGGGCAGTACCCTGTGAGCACGCTGCCCCCACAGGGGAACCTGAGCCATGTGCTTAGCAGCAAGAAATACCGAAGACGGTGAGTTATGGGATCAAATTCTGTCCTAGTCACTAGCTTTCAGCAAGTCTAGAAGTTGATGTGACTAGTGTTCCAGAAGAGATGAGAAGGGGTGGTAGGAAGATGTGATGTCCCCATGCAGGCCTTGAGAGCTGCCAACCCCAGACCCCTGCATGGATATCCATAGGGTCAGGGGAAGGAGTCAGGGAGGCCATGGGGCTGCTCCAGCTCAACTGGGTGGGGGCAGGGCTAGAAGGAAGTAGAGAAGAGGAGGAGGAGGCTCTGGCCCAGCAGGAGCAGGCCTGGGGGCTGCTGCCCAGAGACCCCTTCCCCTGCTACTGCAGTGTCCAGGCCCCCGGTGCGGCTGAGGTAGATGATGACCACGTTGTCCTCAGGACCTGATGGCTGCACCTCGTTGTCAACTGTATAGCACCCCTTACCCTCAGCAGCTTTGCCATGAAACCTGCGCCCCAGCATATCATCACCACCCTCACCCGGCGTGGCCAGTGCCACGTTCACCGAGCTCTCCGCACTGCCCAGCTCATTGGTGGCCAGGCAGCTGTAGGTGCCTTCCTCCAGCTTGCCGAAGTTGGAGATGAGCAGGCTGCCATTGGCAAAGGCCCGGAAGCGTGGCTGGCTGCTGGCTGCCAGGGCAGCAGGCAGGGCATGCCCATCAGCATCCACATTGGGGCTGGTGATCTTCACTGTGCCCTCAGGCGTCTGGATGTGCCAGTGGAGCTGAGGGGGCGGCTGCCCCTCCACATCACAGTGCAGTGCCAGCACAAAGCCAGGCCGCAGCTCGGCACCATCCTGGCTGGGCTGGTAGGTGAGTTGCACCAAGGGTGCTGAGCAAGGCAGTGGCAGCAGGCGGTTCAGCGGTGTGCCCTTCAGTACAGGGGGTGAAGTGCAGGTGACGTTGTCCTGCTCTGGGATGGATACAGCTGTAGTCAGGGCCCATGTCTTGAACCATATGATGCCACAGTTACACTCGAAAGGGTTGTTATTGATCTGCAGGTGGGACAGTGCGGTGAGTGGTGTGAAGGTGCCCTCGGCCAGGGTGTACAAGCGGTTGTGGTTGAGCTGCAGTGAGCGCAGGGCGTGGAGGCTGCGGAAGGCATCTCGGGGGATGAAGGTCAGCTCATTACTGTCCATCTTGAGCAGCTGGAGGGCACTGAGGCTGTGCAGGTTGCTCCAGGCAAAGTCGGAGAGGAGGTTGTGGCTGAGGTCCAGGCTCTTGAGATGACCCAGAGAGGCCAGAGCGCCAGCAGCCACCATGCGGATCTTGTTGTGTGCCAGCCACAGCGACTGCAGCAGGGGCACCTCCCTGAAGGCACCCTCTGGCAAGCTGGGCAGCCAGTTGGCTGACAGGCTCAATGTGGTCACATTGGCTGGGAAGCCAGGAGGCACAGCCTCCAGGTCACGGTAGGCACAGTCGGCAATCTGGAAGCCGTACTTCTCCCCACAGCTACAGGGCTCAGGACAGGCCTGCCCCAGGCCCAGGAGGACAGCCCAGCACAGCAGACACAGCTCCTGCATCCTATCTCCTGCAGATAAAGACAAGCCACTGAGGTGACTCCAAGGACCCATGGAGGGCAGTCGTCCCCATCGCAGCCCAACCCAGAGCTCTTCCCCATCAGAAGGCCTTGCCCCACATAAGCCAGCATCATCACCACTTAGCCCACCACCCTTATTCTACAGAACGGGAAACTGAGGCCCAAAGCAGGGCCAGGACTTGCCCGAGGTCATGCAGCCAGGAGAGGTGACAAAAGGATGAGAGAGAACCCCAGCTCCTCTGAGCGGAGAGCTTTCCCAGCCAGTTCCTAGCTGACTTTATGACTTGAAATCTGTTTTCCAGTCGCCCCCTCCCCCAGCACTCTGCAGAACCTCCCTCCTGCCATCCCACATCCTGGCCACAGTCCCTCCCACTGGAGCTCCCCATAGGTATGCTTTGCGCTGGCCCAGACAAGGCCCCTTGTGCAGTGCACACCGCCCCCATCGGACCCACACACCCCCTCTTGCTCCTACTGGTCCTGACCGCAGCAGACACCAGACCCTTTCTACAGAATCACCCCCATAGCCTGTTCTGTTTAAACTGCACCAGGCAGCTGCCTAAATAAATCCCCTGCTGGGATTTCCAGGGGGGCTATGGTTGTTGGAGGGGCAGATGCCCCCTGGACAGGTCCAAACAAGGGATAGTCCAACTAACAGAAAAGTGTCCAGGGGCCCCTGGGCCCAGCAGGCCTCTCCCTTCTTCCTCGGGCCCTTGGGGCCCTCCTCCTGCTGGCTTACCTTCAAAATACTCTTTCTTGGTCAAGCAGAGCCTCTCCTGAGATGGAACCAGAAAGCAACAAAGGCCAGAGTTAGCCCGGGACAGTCTGCAGGGCCACGGGAATCCAAGGGAAGAGGAGGTTGCTGAAGGAAGGGGCAGCCTGGTCCCTGCACCCCTGAGCCTGGAACCAGCTGCTGAGAGGAGGCTGAGAGGAGCCTGCACACTCCCTTCTTCCAGCAAAACAACTGCTTCTCTACAGCAACAAGGACCTGTGTTTCATAAGTGACACCAGAAACTTAAGGGGGAAGATGCCAAATTTTTTGGTGTTTTTTTTTTCCCCTCTCTCTCACTCACTTTTAGCAGCTTCAACTTCCTTAAAGGCACAGCACTAGCTGGACAGGAGCCAAGAAAAGATAGGGCAGAAGGGTTTTTATGGTGGGAAGGGTAAGAAATTGAATCTCAAGGAAGGTGGGATACTTCTAACCTCATTTCAAACAAGAAAAAAAAGGGGGGCCATTTTCTAAGCTGGGGCCCTATGAGTGATAATGTGTGTGCTTATATGTGCATGTGTGTGTGGGTGTGCCCTCTCTGTGTGGGGATGAGTTTGTGTGTGTGTTTGTGTGGATGTGGGTGTGAGACTGTGAATTTGTGTGTGTATTTGAGTAGGTGTGGGACTGTCTTTGTGTGTTTGTGACTGTGTTTATATGTGTGAGTTTGTACGTGTATTTGGGCGTGTGTGTGTTTGTGTATGTGTGTTTGTGCGTAGGAGTGAATCTCTGCATCCATATGTCTGTTTGAGTGAAGGGTGTGTCTCAGTGAAAAGCTGAGAAGGCCAGTGTATGAAACACTCACCAGGCTTCAAGGCTTCGGTGAGAAGCCAAAATGTTAGGCCTGTTTTTGTAAGAAAACACATCCTTTTCCCCTGGCTCCGCAGCTGGGCTGCTCTGAACACATGCTGTTCTCCCTGGGGGCCCCGAGGCTCCAGCCCCAGCTCTCCATTGCTCTGGGGAGGCGGGTGGGGTCAGGAGGCAGACAGGGAGGTGACTTGGCTTCTACCCAGTAGCAGGAAGCTTGGGACAAGAACCAGCAGGGCTTCGGTTTCCTTTGCTGGGATTCTGAGACACCCAGGCTCACAGAGATGGTTCCATCACCCAGGACTGTCCACCTGGCAGGCAGAGGTGAGCTTGAGGAACTTCACTCCTTCTGGAATATTCTCTCTGTGGTCTCCTTTGGTGCCTGGAATCCCTGAGCTCCACTGTCCCAACACTACCTGTGTGGAAGGGGCATATGCCTTCAGGCTGAGGATATCTGACCCCTTTTCTCCAAACAGGATGTCCAGGGGGAGAGGGAATGAGGAGGAGAAAGAGGCCCCAAACTAGAGAGCAGGAAGAAAAGCCAAAAGATGAGGGAGCCCCTGAAAGCTTCTAGATGAGATATTTTTGCTCTCTACAGCACAAATATGTCCCCTCAGTCCTCCTTTCCCAACCTTCCTTTCCTTCTGTCCGTACACCTGGCTGAATTCTGTTCATGACTCAACTTACCCTCTTGGCAGGGCCAAGGACCATTATCAGGCATCGTCTTTGCTGAAAGTATCCCCATGGAGCCCCATTCCAGCTCATCACATCCTCAGCCCCCTGCTTCAAAGCAAGGCTGCAGAAGTCCTGGGAAGCAGTGTGCTACCTTAAAAACACCCCGGTCTGATGCTGAACATATTCTTATAGTCTAACTGAGCTCCTTCCCACTGCAGGTGAAGCCCTGTCCGGCATCTTCACTATTGTGCTAGAGAATTTTGGGAAAGTCCTAAATTTGATGGGTCAACCAGAAGCTGGAAGCACACACATCCACAGTTCAATAAATTAGCAACTTCAGTGCCAGTCAGGGAGGGCTTGCTGGCTGAGGGGGCTTCACTGTGCCCAGTCACCACCTTACCCATGAAGGGCCATGCCACGTCCCAGGTGCTCTGAGGAGCTAATAGTCTTTACTCCTCTTCCACCTCTAAAGCACACCAGGGCTTCAGAATGTAAAAGATCCTCTCCAGACCTCAGCCTCTTCTGCTGCAGCTGGTATTTTAGGCTTCCATCCCACATCACCTCCTCAGAGCATCCCTTCTGATACCACCGAAGTAGGTTCCCCCCTTAATTACCCTCACAGACCTCCCTGTTTTTCTTCCGAGCTCTTACTAACATCTTTTTTGACAGTTCTTGTTTTCCCTGGACTTACTAATTGTCTTTTTCTTGTGTGTGTGTGTGTGTGGGGGGGGGGGGGGTAAGGGGGGGGAGGCTAAGATTTTTTTTTTTTTAATACCTATCACTAATTGAATTCCAACTCTCGCCTAGTTGGGTGAATCTCCTCTGGACATAGGTAAACACATAAAGTCCTCTGTCAACTGGAAGGACTTCTCCTCTTTAGTCTTGTGGAAGAACTCTCTCCCTGAGCCTTCTGACCTGCTCAGTTCCGTTTCCCTAGAGGCCTGCTGTGCAGAGGCTCCCAGCCTCCCCCCTCCATTCCTTGGCGCCCCGTCACCCTTTGGGGTGGATCTCTTGCTTCCTGGATCCCACCTTATCCCTCCTTAGTTTACTCATTTGGCAGAACACATCTGTCCAACAGTGAGAAAGTATCATCAAACCAAAAGACAAAGCTGGAAACTCCATAGAATATAATAGAATTTATTATAGGTCAAGTTACTTAAGGGAAGGTTGGGTGGGAGCAGAACAGAATCCAGCAATTCTGAGCAGTTGTGCTCCCTGTCTCTGCACTTTTTTGTAGTATAACTCAGGTACTAATGACTGACCAGACAAGGAGACAAAGAATGCGGTAGCACCAGAGGCCCTCCCTCCTGGTGGTCTTGTGATAGATCATAATTGATACTCTTACCAGTTTGATATTTATCTCTGTTGTAATGTCATTCTGGCTGTTACGAATAAAAATATTTATGGCTATATTTTAAAGAACACAGATCACCATCAACTAGTAGGCTTTGATATGCTTACTAAGGATAGTGAAGTTGGTCAAAGGTCCAGCATGAAACCTAAAAATGAAATGAAATCCTGGACACAGAGATGGACTTTCTTTCGTTCACATCTGTATCTATGTAACATCCTCCAGTATCTTTCGGAAAAGGTACACGGGAGATACATGTTTTGAGATCTTGCATGTCTAAAAATGCTTCATTCTGTTCCAAATCTTGATTGATAGTCTGGGTATAGAATTCCAGATGGAGATCTTTTTCCCCCCAGAATTTAAAAGAGGGCCCTCCCCTTAATGTCATTGGCTTTAATGTTGCTCACGGTGCTGGTGTTGAAGGATCCCCAATTCTCTGACATTGGTTCTGTGCATGGTACCTGGAGTTTTTCTTTCTGTTCCTTGTCCTAGGAGGCCTCCTCAATGTTATCATTCCACCTTTATAACAGACCTTTATATTTCTGCTTTAAATTTTTTATTTTTTATCCTCACTCGATGACATTTTTTCTATTTTTTTTTTTGTTCATATAGAGTGAGAGGGAGAGAGAGGAAGAGAGAGAGAGAGAGAGAGAGAGAGAGAGAGAAAGAGAGAGAGAGAGAGAGAGAGAAACATCGATGTGAAAGGGACACATCAAGTGGCTGCCACCCGCATGATCCAACCAGGGCCGGAGACAAACTGCCCTTAGCGGGAACTGAACCCGGGTCTCTCTGGACTGCAGGCCGACGCTCTAACGGCTGAGCCAAACCGGCCAGGGCTCTGCTTTAAAATTTTTAAATTTCAAAGATTCTTTATTACTTGCTGGATGCATGTTCTTTAATATTGCATGGTAAGTAGAATTAATTTAAAAATGAAATAAAATAAAATATATTGCATCTCATTATTGTTTCATGAATATATATTTTATTTTTTTGAGAATAATAACAGCCCCTTTATTACTATTGTTAAAATTTTTTTATCTATATTATCTGTTTGCTTCAAGTTGTATTTTTTCCTGTTTGCTTGCTTGTTTGGGACTCTGTCTTTACTATTAGAGGTTTCCTCAATTACCTCACTCAGCAGAGATTTACTCCTATGTATTTAATGCCAGACTCCTCTATGCGAGAGGAAGCCTGTTGAAGGCAGACATCTGGTCCTCCCAGTTACTATTAATCCCTCACACAGAGAAGATGCTCAATAAATGTCTCCTGACTCAATGGATGGGTGAATCGGATGGACATTAGATGCCAGAAATGAAAGCACTTTAGAGGTCACCTTCTCCACAACCTCATTTTACAGGTGGGACTCTGGGCCCAGGCTGGGGAAGGGACATGCCCAAGGTTATGTGGTTCCTTAGGACAGGACATTTAAGAATATTTCACACAATGTGGTAGATCCACACTCTGTTGGGTGGATGAGTATTTTACTAGACTTCCTGGGGAAGGGAGCCCTTGTGCCCCCATTTCCCATCCTCAAGGACCTGGAGAGCTGCTCTGGGAATCCGGGTCCCACTGCAGAACAGCCATGAGGGCCTGAGGGCAGGAGAAGGGAGAGGGATCTGCCCACCTGGGCGGGACAGGGTCTGCCCACCTGGGTCACTGACAGCTCTTTCCCATCTGTCCAAATGCCACTGCTGCTTGAGGTTGCAGCTGTGCCCCACCTCCTCCAGAAAGCACAATAGGACAAGGGCCACCAGGGTCCAGTAGGCCTCAATTAAGTACTATCGGAAGTAGTGCTTCACAGTGGGACACACAGGGCCACCCCTGCTGAGCCCTAGAAGTAGTTGTGCACACCTCCAAGGAGGGGGCTTATTACCTCCTGGGCAGGTCCTCCACTCTCATCTGCTGAGAGTTCTCCCTGAAAAGCACATCCCACAGGATATAATACAAGCAGGGCAGGAGACAAGCCAGAGGTCAGCTTCCATTCCTCCTCCCAGCCCAGGAGCTCCCTGTGGACTGCCATCCTTCCACCCTGCCTCCCAGCTGGGCTCTGGCCTGAAGATGGGGCCTTGTTGAGCAAGTGGATTTCTTGATTGTCCTCAGATCAAAGATGGAGCTCTAGTGGCCCTTCCACATCCCTGGGTCCTCAGCAGCCCCATAACAGTGGAAGGGAGAAGGGGGAAGGGACCAGATCTGGGAACCCCTTCTGCCAGCTCTGCCTGGTGCCTGTGTGCCTCAGGGTAGAGTGACCAACTGTCCAGGTTTGCCTAGGACTAAGGGGTTTTCTGGGAGGTGAGAATTCCCGCTCTAAAATCCGACACTCCCAGCCAAACTAGGATAGTTGGTCATCCTAGCAGGGGAGGTGGC